AACACTATTTTACAACTTCCCTCTTAACATCAGAGTCCAAATGCAATTTCAGGGCCACCAACCCTGCTCTGAATTGCGACCTCCTGGTGCTTGGAACGAGTTGCAGATTCTCTTAATATTCATCAGCAGAGTTACGACTTGGTCACAGTGCCATCCTTACCCTAGAGGTGGGATCGTTACAGGCAACTTTTCGGCTAGCATGGCAGCAGCCATCTCTGGTCTGGGAAGATTAGTGAAAGTGTCATTGACGATTGATGCAGTCTCGGTAAACTCCAGGACCATGTGGCCCCCCCCTGAAATTCTGTAGCATCGTTGTATCATCGGGGGAATCTTGGTCAGATTAGCCTTGTGTACACGAGGAAGGTGAGAGAATGACTAATGTGTTCGAGGTAGCATGCGTGCTTCAATGTCTCTAAAATTTCTGATAATCAAACGTTGCATACTTGAAATATTTCTTTTTCAACAATGTGCTGCCTTGACTTCTTGTAATTATAATAATATAATAATATTATGGATTACGAAAAGCAAAATACACAATCTTGATAAGAATCTGTATTACACCAGCAAGATCTGCTCCGCGCTTTGATTTCCAATAATATATATTTATAAACTAAAATAAAAAATATCAATCAATACAAAAAAAAAATAGTACCTCTGGTTAGTTATTAACACGCCTTCTTTAGAAGATTCGCATTTTGTCACCTTGGACTCTGTCAAAAAATAAATTGTTTTTCCAAGAAAGAAAAAAATCAATTCGCGTCTGTCCTACCAAAAAAAAAACCAATAGGATAAATAATCAATGTACGCGTCGATCAAATCACAAACTTCTTTTATTTTTTTTTATTAAATATGTCGTATCGGCCTAATAAAAGAAACAGAAATCAAGACCGTGAAGACCTTGCTGGGTAAGTGTTTTAATGATGGTGGTGGTGGTTATCGCCCGCCACCTGTCGTCGTTACTCTAGTTTCATATTAAATTTTATACTATATATGTAGATCTTCTACCATTAATGAATGGATTGATACAGAGGATCTGTTTGAAAGTATCAAGAAGATTCTACCAGGACCACCACCAACACCATTGGACACTCAAGAACTTTTTGAATGTCTAAAAAATTTATTACCTAAGGATAATGTTGAGATTCCAGTAAGTTTAACAATTTTCTATCTATTAAGCTATTATTTAACATTTTGTAGATTTTCAAATATTTTACATCACACAAACATTACAGTGTTCAATTGAGTTGTCATCATCTTATGCATCAACAACTACCAGTGGCACTGCTCATTACATACAATCTTCACAATACCATCCTAACACACTGCCTTCTCCTTCTACCATGGTTTCTACCACAAACAATACCACATTACAACAACAAAAACAATTACTATCTTCTTCTCCAAACTCTGGATCTTGCTCTACATCAGCTATTATTACTTCGCAATCTGCTTTTACTCCTTATAATAATCATTCTTCTCATACAATAAATCCTACTCCAGTAACTACTTCTCCAAATAAAGTAAATTTCAATATTTTTGAATCAGTAATAATCAACAATGATGACGATGATAATGATGAAGATCAAGGAAGCAAGCTAAGTGTACTGGAGGATGATGTACAAGGATTAACTGTTCATTATGTCAGAAGGTGGACTAAGCAAGAACTAACAATCCTCTTAGATCACATTTTCAGTAAAAAAATAAATTGCACCAAACTTCAAGAAATGGGTATATTACGAAAAAATAGAGGCATTTCATTGAAATGGAGATCAATGAAGATACAAATAAAAAAATTATTTGAAGTTGACTTGTAGATATTATTAATTCAATATTAAATTTGCTTGTAAACAATGAAATATTTGACATATTTCTTTAACATAATTTGTATAAATTTAATCTTGCTGAATTCTTAAAAAAGGACAGCTTTTTTTATTTTATCATTTTTTATTAACAAATTATAAAGGTAATATAATTATTTTGATTGTGAATTTTCACAATATACTTTTTCATTTTTATCTTAGATTAATTATCAGCAAAATATTTTTTTATAATTTTCAATAAACATAATGAAATTGATCATTTCTTGTAAAGCTTTCTAAATAATTTTATTTTGATTTCAATTAAAAGCAAATCCTTGTATATGGATGAATCTTGGAACGACATATCACACAAATTTTAAGTTTATTTGCACATTTTCACATGCTACTAGATGGTTTCATGGTGAAAAACAATGTATGACTGGTTTAAAGCTCCTCATGAGTAGTGTTTATATTCATTCAAAATTGTTCGGACAATATTCAAATATCATTCATGTGATTGATATTTGAATATCATGAATACAAACACTATAAAAAACAATATTGATCCCTGAAATCCTTGGTAATACCAATGTTCACTTTGTCTGGTTTTGTTGCAGCATGCCCCAATTTATATTGGTTTTATTGGATGGAATTAAATATTATAAGAATGAGAAATTGAATTTCTTATCCTGATGGTTAGTGATGATGGAGTTTTGTAGGTTGATCCTTAACATTTGAGACACAAAAATCAAGGATACATCTTATTGCAGATCCTTGGATCGGGTGGATCGGGTGGCCACTACGTATATACAGCACAATGTAAAACAGATGATCATTAATGTATAAATAAATCGTGATCAAAAAAATTTTTTCATTATAAAAAACAATGTCAAATTTTCAACAAACATCACAACTTTACGGTCTTCTTAAAAAAGAATGGGAATCCCCTAACAGGAATTTAAAAAAATGTGGAGAATTTCTAACAAAACTTAAAGTTAGTGGCACAAAACGTCATACATGATCGTTGAAAATAATAACAATATTATTATTTTTGTACAGATTTTATTATCAGAAATACAACTTTTACTTCCTGAAGGAGAATTAGCAGATATTAAACAGCTTCTTACTGCTCGTAAGTTTGAAAAAAGAAATTTTTTTCTAGGAAAATATTTATCAGCTAATTATTGTTATTATACAATGAACATTAGGTGATATTTTAGAAATAGGAGCCTTTCGGAGTGTTTGTGTTAAAGATATTCCATCATTTGAGAGATATATTTCTCAATTAAATACATATTATAATGATTATAGGTTTATCATTATACATAAATGCTTATATATATTATATTTAAATGTAAAATCCATAATTACTTATTAATTAATTAATTAATTATTTATTTAGTTCATTACTTCCACCTTCACCACAAATGTATCCATTGGTTGGATTAAATTTACTCCGTCTACTATCGCAAAATCGTATAGCAGAGTTCCATACAGCATTAGAGAATATTGAACCCGAGCAACTTTTAGAGAATGATTATATTAAACATCCAGTTCATTTGGAACAATATCTCATGGAAGGAAGTTACAATAAAGTTTGGAATTCCAGAGATAAAGTTCCTGCGCCAGAATATCTTTTTTTTATTGATATTTTAATGGAAACCATTAGGTCAGTAATATATACATATAGATATAATATTTTATTATATGACTTTATTATTTATTATTATCATTATTGCAGAAGTGAAATTGCTAGTTGTAGTGAAAAGGCCTATGATAATTTACCATTATCAGATGCAGCAACGTTATTATTTTATAATAATAATAATCAACATGAAGTTTCAAATTTTGCAACAGAGGTAATTATCTATATATATGTTTGAAGGGCATTAATTTATTTTTTGGGAAACTGATTTTTGTTATTATTATGATTAATATAATTATCATCAATGTTAATAATTATATATGTAAAGCGTGGATGGAAAATTAATCCAGAGGAAAAGAAAATTTATTTTACAACAAAAGATGATAATCAAGTTGAAATACCATCATTTAATATTATTAGACAATCACTTCACTATGCAAGAGAATTAGAAAAAATTGTATAAATTTATATTACAATAATATTCATATTGTTGTTATCCATATTCATATTATTATTGTTATTATTATTATTATAAATAAATAAATTTAAGAAATTAAATTCAATAATTAATTAATTAATTAATTAATCAATAAATAGCTTGGATTCAAATCAAACATCAAAAAATTTTTTTTTAAAAACCAATAATAATAACAATAATGATATTGTTGAATATTAGTGATGATGATGATTATAATGTTGCTAATAGATTATTAACGAATTGACATTACACTATTGTTGTTACTAAAAGCAAAGAAGAGGAGAAAAACGTTGCTTTAACAGAAAGTAGCAAGGAAATTACTAAATTGCAAAATGAATTAAGAGGAAAAAAAGATGGCAGTATCTTTCTTTTGCAAAAGCTTCAAAAATGATTGCAAAATTTCTAAAGACAATTTGAAGATAGCAATATACAAAAACTAGGATGATAAGCTCTCTTAATTACAATTACTACAGAATTCCTTTGCATGGATAGTTAATGGCACTTCAAAAATTTTTATTGGAAAAAGAATTATCTAATTGCTGTAATACCTTTTTTTTCTAAATTTGATAAAATTAACTATTGATCCCTTTTTTTCAATAATTTTATTGTTTTAGTTTGCCAAATTTGGCATGATTACTTCAATATCTTTGCAAAATTGCTAGCTAAAGGTTTAGCAAACACCCTCAAAACTTTTGGGACAATTTGATGTTCTTTATATATTAATATTAATATATTTTTCTTTGCTATTAAACCTCTAGTGACTCTAATATGTTGGTTCAGACTCTTGGTCCCAAGATAATCAGAGATTCCACACTGTATTGTTCCAGGCTCTCGGCACATTATAATGACCTATTATATCCTTCAGACTCTCAGTTAGGATATGATACTGAGGCTTTTCTGATATTTATATCTAAAGACACTTGCCATAAATGATTGGGCTGGTAGCTACCATTGCCATAAATAGCTGTTGGCAGCTACTGTAAAATAGTAAATTATAAATCACGGGAAACTAACATATAAATCGGAAATGATTTACATGTAATACAAAGTGAAAAAAATTGGAAGCGATTATCACGGAATAGCTCAACAATAATATTCAAACGGTCTCACTGATATACAATTAATTAATAAAATGGATAATCTCGGATAAACGACTGAACATTTACTGTATTCTTTAATTAATAAATGGATAGAGTTCACTGAGGATTTACTGAATAATTAATTAGTAAAATGGATAAAATTTGGATAAATTGTTGAATAAATTCAATTAATAAATAAATTTTCAAGTGGTCTACTAAATATGGCTCCTCAATTGATTGTGACTAGTTGCATTCATTGCGGTTTCCATCTTCAAATGTTACTAACATGATAAAATGGTAAATTTATGGACTAGTAATGTATATACAGCAACATAAAAATTTGTATGTGATACATCACAACTTTGAGTTAATCACCAGTCCATGTTCTGTTTGAAGTTTTCCATATTTCTGAACAGAATTTTGTAATTGTCTTGAAAGTAATGTATAGTGCGGGTCACTCTAACACATCAAATAACCTTAAAGCTGGATAGGGAAATATTGAATGCTTATCTAAAAAAAATAGAAATGATATTTGATAGCTATTGACTAGTTCTACAATTCATCGTCAAGATAATTTTAAAAAAATTATTAGTTCCCAGAGTTATTAGCTTTTAAAAATCGTGTGTTTTTATAAAAATTTCCATTTAAAGTTTATCTGAAATTTTTAAAAGCTAATAAATAATTATGGAATTAATAATTTTTTAAAAATTATCTTGATGATGGATTATAGAACTAGTCAATAGCTGTCAAATATCGTCTCTATTTTTTTTAGTTAAGAAGCATTCAATATTTCCCTACCTATCTTTAAAGTTATTTGATTAGTGGTTGTATCCGCCGAATGATATTCATCGATTATTCATCGATTATCCGGGTGTTGAGTTTTATTGACTGACCGATTATCTGGATGTTGAGCTTTATTGATTGACCAAGTACTCAAACGCCCGGATAATCAACGGATACAACCACTATATTTGATGTGTTAGAGTGGCCCGAACCATACAGGATTAAGACTAGGCTAAAAAATACAATAATTCTTTACCTATTGCCATATATTTTTGTATTTTGTTAAGTACTTGATCGGATTGAGTGATCTTAGATCCAAAAGGATGCCTGAATTCTATTACATCATATTCAAAATTTATTTATAGTTAATATGTAGTAATATTGATTTTAAATCACAATTCGTTGACGCGCCTTTAATAATATTAAATATTTCTCTACAATTCTCTTCTATTTTTTTGACAATTTGTATATTATTGTTGCATGCTCATACTATCTAATATTTTAATCGTTGTTATTTATGTAGGAATAAATGTAAAAGAAAAATTTTAAACTACATTTATTTCTAATTATACTTGCAATTGGACACGTCAAACAAAATTCATTACTATTATTATCATTAATATTAATATGAATATTATAAATTAATCGGGTAAAATTTAATTTCATTAAAGTAGACAGTTCCAAAATTTTTAATGTTAGTATATATCATGGGTCAAATTATGTTCTTTTTTCTAATGTTATTGTCAAGTTATATATTAAACTTAATTTTGGTCTGGGTCAAATCTTCATATAACAAATAGGGATTTTTGTTATTACACAGTGAACCTCGATTTAACGGATAGTTTTGGGCAATTAGGAAAATTTTCCAAAAATCCGTTAAACCGAGATATCCGCTATATCGAGAAGGTTTTTATTAATATTAAGGTTTATTATGAAACCGTTCTTTGAACTTTATCCGTAAAACCGAGATTTTAATTAGTAACCGCTAAATCGAGGTCCGCTAAATCGAGATTCACTGTGTATTATGAAGTTTGCGGTGGTCCTGTCCCACCACAATGTAAAAATTGCATTTAAATCTTTCTAAATATGGGAATTTACACATTTAATATTGAATGAGGAGGAGGAGGTTATAACCAATTTCGTTTATCAACACTGATTGTTGGTTACATCAACCTTTAAAAAATAAAATGAAACGTCTTGTTGTATTTGATTTTGACGGGTAATAAAAATTTTCATATATATATTGTATTTCAAATTTCATATTTTGTTAGCTAAATCTTATAATCTTTTAAACAAAGATCTTTAATTGATGAAAATTCTGATACATGGATATTTGAACAATTATCGATCGAGACAGCTGAAAAGCTTAATAAATTATATGGGAAAATCCAGTGGACAGATTTAATGTAAATGATATTTGAATTAATATTGTTATTTTTGCATTTGATTAAACAAAAAAAAATTTTTAATTTTAATTTTTAATTAGGGACAAATTACTTGGTGAATTACACCAGAAAGGCATAACAAGGCAACAAATTGAACATGCATTTACAAAAATTCCATTTGTAAGTATAGCATTATACATATGGATACATTATGGATATGCAGTATATTGATAATATATTTTCTTAATACATGTACAAGAGATCTAAAATGATTGAAGCATTAAAAACCATCAAGAGATTAAATGGTGATATTATAATTCTTTCAGATGCTAATACTGTTTATATTGAAGAGATTCTGAAGGTTTTTATAGATTATTTTTTCTTTCAATAAAAAATTCTAATTTTTAAAATAAATAATGACCTTAATCAAATTGTTTTATTAGGCTTATAATGTATATGAGTTGATTTCTGATATAATATCAAATCCAGCAGAATGGAATGAAGATGGTAGATTACGTGTTCAGAGATTATATTCTCCAAATGACCCACCTCATGGATGTGAAAATCAATGTGCATTAAACATTTGTAAAGGTCGTGAACTATTAAAGTTTTTATCAAAATGTGAAGTCACATATCAACAAATTATATATGTTGGAGATTCTTTAAATGATTTTTGTCCAGCTACTAAAATGTCAAGGTAAAAATTTCCCGTATTGGTGGTTTATTAATAGTATATTTATTGTGTGTGTGCATTTGGAATGTATTTATAATAATAATAATAACGATAATAATTAATGCTTTTTTTTATTAATAAATGTAAAGTAACGACTTGTTTTTGGTAAGAAAAGGTTTGGAGAAGAAGAATAGTAATTGTTTTTGTTGTTGTAATGTGGTATTGTTTGTGGTAGAAACCATGGTAGAAGGAGAAGGCAGTGTGTTA